AAAGGGAGTGCTCAGAGACAGAAGGCTGGAAAAGCCAGCCTAAACTGGGGCTGCCCTGGGCAAACTGGATGTATGATCACCCTATTTATATGCCATGATAAGGGGCTTGGATTTGATTTTGAGAGCAATGTTTTCCATAACAGATACCATGTAGATCTCTACAGCCATTAAGTATATAAAAAACTTCTATGGTCAAATACATTCAGAAAATACTGGGTTAAAGAAAGTTACACTTGTTTCTTTACCGAACCACTTCTCAGAGCATTTAATTTATAAACATGCACCTCGAATCTTCAGGAAGGCATCATAATAAGATTTCCAGACATTTCTCCATAGATGCCCTTCTAGGATTCCTCCCCTCAATCTACACAACCTTTCACCTCTGACCAGCCCCAGCACTTTTATCTTTAAGAAGTACATTTGGGGGCATGTGGCAATCATGGTGATGGCATGAAGCCTGGAGTGATGTTTTCAGATTTGCGCTTCAAATACTCAGTGGTGGCTTTGAGGATAATGACGTTGAGGAGAACTGGAGGTACAGATGCCAATGAGGAAGGTATTGTAGTGGACTGGGACACAGAGAGAAGAGGGCACACAACGATAATAATTGTAGGAGGTAAAATTAGAGATGAACATACCAATCATCATGCTATGATGGTCCATATAAGATTTCTGTGGGATTCCTATTAGCTCTATGTTTAAAAGTGAGAGCAAAATCTGCTCTGTGCTTGGCATATAACTAGGGGCAGAGTGCTCTTAGAAAACAAGCAGACTGCAGAGGGAGATGAGAGGTGCTTAAAAACAAAGCACAATGGAACAAACTCTAGTTTATTAGACATTAATTTAAGCTGACTTTTTTTGGGAGGGTGGTGCCACGCTGCTCAGTATGTGGAATCTTAGCATGTGGGATGTTAGTTCCCCGACCAGGGATCAAACCTGTGGCCCCCTGCAGTGGAAGCGTGGAGTCTTAACCACTGGACCGCCAGGGAAGTTCCTAAACTGCCTTTTAATCTAGCACAGATTTCTTAAAACAGCTTTGGTTTTCCCCTACATTATAATCAAAAACAAACTTTCACAGGTACACTTGCACCTCTCATTTATCAATAAATTCCTTGCCTTTTTGTATTTTCCTTTTTGTGTCTTTTACTTCTCTGGCTGCCCCACAAGATCACATGGTGGGCCTTTTAAAAAATATTTTAGTTCAGGGGCTATAATGTGAACAGGCAATTGTCTCCTATTTGCTAGAATTGCTATTCCAAACACTGGAGATACAGCAGTGAAGAGTTCCCTAGCCTACATGGCAGAGGTTATTTAGGTGGTATTTATATTAATAAGGACACAAGTATGCAGATAACAATTCCCGCTCAAAAACTTACTTCTGATTGCCCTTCGAATTCTTTCCAAGAAGACCCAAATCCCCAAAATTACTAGCTCTGAAAAATCCAAATCACAAGCCTTCAGACATAGGGAATTCTTGCAATTATAAAGGATTTGTCTGGGGAGAAGTGAAAAGATCACCTGTTAAATTGGCAGAATTTTTGATCCCTGCTGTGTTCAAGGCACCTGGCTAAGTTTCACTAAGAAGCAGGCTGATGCTCAGGTGGGATACCATAGATATCAGGAACTCTTCTGGAATTCATTTATCCTCTGTACCTCTAAATTTTGCAGGGCTACCTAAACTATACCTTTTTTTTTTTCACTTCAATACAAAGGATACAAAGGAGTGAAATCTTATTCCTAGTTTTCAAAAGACCTGGAAGAAATCCACTCATATTTTGAAACATAAAAAATTGGAAGGAGCCAAGGAGGAGGATTCAGACAACTGAGCTTTGGTCCTCATTCAGTCAGTAACTAGCAGGGTGACCTGAAGAGATCACCAAGCCTCCAGTTCTTCAACAGTGCTTTGTGATGTCCCCTGTCACAGGCCAGGGTTCTATCAAACATGACAGGATGTTTGGAAAGTGCAGCAGACACTACGTAAATGTAAATTCTTTGCATGATAGTTCCTTGAATGACTGAAATGCCTCTTCCTAAATTTACCAACCACTTCCTAATTTTCAATTCCAATGCACAACTTTTGGTTCTTAATTTACCTGAACTTTCTGTGACATGTGCTATCATAGACCATTCCCTCTTTTTTGAAATGTTTTCCTTCATTCTCTACTGCACCTTTTCCTGATTTACTTCCTATCTCTCTGATTACTCCTTTTCATGGTTTTTATTCCTCTGGCCTCCCTTAAACACAGCAAGTCCACAACATCCCATCCTTAGGGTTAGTGAGCTCATCTCTTCCCGTAGCTCCAACCAGAACTCTATCCAGAACTCCAGCTCACATTCTCAAGTACCTGTAGGACACTGGACATCTCTGAGTCTCACTTCCCCAGAATCTTTAACACAACAACACGTCCCAAGTTAAACTTACTGTCACTTTGCTCCCTCATTTCACCATCTCCATCCTCAAACTGCAATTGCTTTATCAGCAATCTTAGATCTCAGCTACATCATGTTCTGCTCAGTTTTGTGTCTTAAAAAGAGGAGTCATCTCTTTCATTCTCCATATCTAGTTGATTTCCACGTCTTCTTAAATATTTCTCAAAGCAGTCCTCACCTCCTCTTCTCCAATGTATTTGCCTTACTACAGTCCTTCAATATCTCTGATATTGGGGAGATTCTTAACTGGGGGATGCTACCATTGCTAGCAGCCTCCTAAGTGGTCAAAACTCTCTCTCACTTTTATTTCCCTTTATTTTTGCCCATTCTCCAAAGCTTTCTTCAGAGCATGGAATTATGAGGACATCACACCTTTGCTTTCATAGTTTAACTCCTATTAGATATTCATTTAACATGATATACAGGCTTTTCATTATATAAACTCCACTTGACTTTCTAGTCTCATGCCCCTCCATTCCACCCACTCTGCTTTAGTCTAATGAAAATTAGAAGAGGTCCCTGAGAGTTTGAACTTGCCTGTGATTTTATGAAGTTTTATGTGTTCTTCCTTTTGCCTGGAATGTCCTTTCCCATCTTGTCTTCGCAGTGAAGTCTTACACATTTTTCAGGATTCTATTAACACTTCCCTTTTGGAATGGTCCCTGACCCCACAGTAAGTCGTCCTCATCTCTGGGCTCCCTCTGTGCTGTGTACAAATCTTTATCACAGCATCTCTTGCAGTGTTCTGAGAAGGATCTCACTCTTTGAGCAACCTGAGGGAAAATACTGTATCCTACTCCTCTTGATACCTGCAGTGCCTGTCGCAGTCCCTGGCACATGGCAGATTCCCAGTGAACATGTGCTGAGTGAATTATATGGTAGGAAGAAATCAAGATTCTGAATTAGGTCATCTGGATCTGTGCTTCTCGTAATTATTTGTGTGATTTTGATGACATTTCTTTGGGTTTCAGATTTTTTCATCTGTGAAATGAGGAATTAGAGGTAGCTTTTCTGGTAGGCTTTCTCCAGCTTTAATACTCTATGGCTGAAACGATCGCCTATTACAAAGGCTGATATACGGATTTTATTTGATCACAGAATGTTTTATAAAAACTTATGAATACTGAAAAAAAGATTTTTCACATAAAAATTAGAATTTACACTGTATCTTGGCAAAACAGATAACTTGATCACATTGGGCCAATTATCCCTAAAAGTCTACAATTGGCTCTAGCTGAATCACGCTGCCCCTTTCGATGGGGTGTGTGCCTTCTGTTTGGCCAGCCTGCCCATCTCTCTCTTGCCCCCTCTTCACAGATGCAGAGTATAAGTTGCTGCTTATTACCACACTTATACCACAGTTTTCTTCTGGAAAAAATGAGAAACAGAAAATTTTTCTTGTTCCCATTTCTCTCTTAAAAGTAGAAAAATGAAAAATAAACGGAGAGCCTCTTATGTTTCTTATCGTTGGTTGACCTCACTCACTTATGCACATATGTATGTATAATTCCAAACAAACTAGAATTTGCTCATGTGGTACCAATTCAAAATATTCTGGTTTTAGTTTTTTGGTTTTTTTGGCTGTGTTGGGTCTTCGTTTCTGTGCGAGGGCTTTCTCTAGTTGCGGCAAGCGGGGGCCTCTCTTCATCACGGTGTGCGGGTCGTTCACTGTCGTGGCCTCTCTTGTTGCGGGGCACAGGCTCCAGACGCGCAGGCTCAGTAGTTGTGGCTCACGTGCCTAGTTGCACGTGGGATCTTCCCAGACCAGGGCTTGAACCCGTGTCCGCTGCATTGGCAGGCGGACTCTCAACCACTGCACCAGCAGGGAAGCCCATGGTTTTAGTTTTTTTTTCCACCTTAGTCCATCTGGACTTTTGATGTCCTGATAATCCTTTCAGAAAATATTATTGCCTTAATACAGACAAAGGCCTAATTAATTAATTTGGTATTTCTCTCACCTGAAGCAACTGATGCTTTTTATCTAACAATTACTTTATGTTTGACTATTTATCATGAGAACATTCTCTGCTCTTTTCAAATCCTGTTGGAACTACTTCCTGCCCTTCAAGGATGCTTCGAATGACTGGAGTGTGCTACGAAAACTTGGTTACTAAGTGGGCACACGGAAATGACTCCACTCATTGTTCCCGCTAGAACTGCGTATTTGCGTTCACATTTTTTAATGGACTTGCGCAATATGTTCTACTGAGGTTAAGGGTTAGGAAACAAGACCGGCGTGAGTTGATGGGGCGGGCTGAAGACACGAGTCTAGGGAGGCCGGCATCACCTGATAAAGAAAACAGCTGCTCTCCATTCCCTCCTCTTGCTTTTCACACGCAGGATAAGGCGTTCACCATCTACACGTCAGACCTGAAAGAATACCTCCCTTGCAGTTGTGCTGGAACCCCTATTCCTTAGCTTAGAACCAGAGGGGGCGGGGAAGGGCCGCTGTCACTCAACCCCGATGGCCAATAAGAGGAGGGCTATCCCCGCCTCCTTCCCAGGGAGGGTTTGAGAGCATGCGCAGTGGGCGTTCCAGCGCCTCCACCCATCAGCTGAGGCTCGTAGCTGGCGGCTCTGGGGCCCTTGGGTGGCCGGGGCCAAAGAAGGAGAAGGAAGCCGAGGAGGTCGGGGTAAGAGGAGCCTCTGGAGGGGGTGTCCCTGGCTGGGCGCCCCGAAAGCGCGTGTCCCCGTGGCTGCCGCGCCACCTTGTTTGCGTGCGTTGTCAGGTGGCCGCCGCCCTGCGCTTCGCGGCAGGCTTTCGGGAGTCGGAGGGCCGGCGCTGCCCCAGCGCCGGGAGCGCGCTCCTCCCCACGCCCCCCGGGCCGGCGCGGGTGCGCGGCGCGGCCCGGCCGGTGCCGCCGGCCTAGTCAGCCCGGCCCGCCCTGCGCCGGCTGCGCCGCAGTCTCGCCGCCTCCCCCGGCCGCCCCGGCCGCGCTCGTTCAGGCGCACCGGCGGGCTGAGCGCTCCAGGGCGGGGCTGGAGCCCGAGCCGCTCCGGCCCAGCTCTGGAGAACAGCTTCTGCCTCAGGCTGGACACGAATTGACTTCTTCCTCTTTTTAATGCCCGGATTTAGAAAACGCGCTTTAAAGTTCTCCCGAATATAGAAGAACTGAAGATATATATTTCTGTAGTAGAGGAACCGTATACGTTTATTCGGAGGCTCATCGTAGTTGGTTTTCTATTTGGCCTGGAGACTTTGACACACTACCTTTCTTTGATCTTTTCAGTACCTGTCCTTAGTTGGTTTGCATTAAGCCCTTTACAGCTGCATAAAATGTTCCAAGATGCCTCTCCACCCCACCTCAGCCCACCCCTCTTGTTTTTTAGGTTGTTACTTTCTTTAAGTTAAGACAAAAAGAAGACAAAAATGCCTTTCCCGTCAAATGCTATATATTTTTTTGCTCTCAAGTTTCTTACATTTGCTTGGTTCTTATAGACATACATTAATTTTTGTTTAATTCAGATCAACGTATTCTGACTATAATTATACATAATTTAAAGCTTGCTCGGGATCTGGAAGAAAAGGAAATGATTATGAAATGCTGTGCTGTTTAGTAATATTGGAGGTGGACGTTTCTTCTGGGGTTGGCCTGATCATCCCCCCAGGGCAGAGACTGATAGCAGTGTTCAGCTGTGTCTTGTGATGTGGACACGCCTCTGCTTTGCAGGCCACTTTGAGAAGGTTGTCTCAGACTTGTGACTAGTTAAGAATTATGCTCTAGTTTCAGTTAATATGATACCATGTGAACTCATTAACATCTACATTTTTCTTCAGATATTTTACTTTTGCTCCCCATCTCAAAGTGAGTCTTAATTTTGGTTATGATCTCAAACTTTAGCCAGGTGCTGCTGGGTGAGAAATTGTATAAAACACCTGCAGTAAGTCTGAATAAGATTTGCCATAATTCTATTTAATTTGAAAGTTTAGTGTGTGTGAAAGAGTGGAAAATAATTCTCGGTATTGTGGATTAAACCTAAATAGTATAATAGTTTAATGGATGGAGGAGCTGAGCTAATGAATGCAGTTAATGTAGTTTATGTAGAGAATGCTCATGTCTGTTAGGAGAGTGATCACCCTCACATTCGTGGAACATCTTCTATGCCCCTGGCACTGTGGATTCTACAAGAAGATAGCCTTAGATTAATCTCCAAAGTATATAAACAGCTTATGAAGCTCAATATTAAAAAAACAACCCAATCAAAAAATGGGCAGAAGACCTAAATAGACCTTTCTCCAGAGAAGTCATACAGATGGCCAAGAGGCACATGAAAAGCTGCTCAACATCACTAATTATTAGAGAAATGCAAATCAAAACTACAATGAGGTATTACCTCACACCGGTTAGAATGGGCATCGTGAGAAAATCTACAAACAACAAATGCTGAAGAGGGTGTGGAGAAAAGGGAACCCTCTTGCACTGTTGGTGGGAATGTAAATTGATACAGTCACTATGGAGAACAGTATAGAGGTTCCTTAAAAAACTAAAAATAGAATTATCATATGACCCAGCAATCCCACTACTGGGCATATATCCAGAGAAAACCATAATTCAAAAGACACACGCACCCCAGTGTTCACTGCAGCACTATTTACAATAGCCATGTCATGGAAGCAACCTAAATGCCCATCGACAGACGAGTGGATAAAGAAGATGTGGTGCATATAAACAATGGAATATTACTCAGCCATAAAAAGGAACAAAATTGGGTTATTTGTAGAGACGTGGATGGACCTAGAGACTGTCATACAGAGTGAAGTAAGTCAGAAAGAGATAAACATATCGTATATTAACACATATATGTGGAATCTAGAAAAATGGTACAGATGAACTGGTTTGCAGTGTAGAAATAGAGACACAGATGAAAAGAACAAATGTATGGACACCAAGGGGGAAAGCAGGGGTGGTGATGGTGGTGGTGGGATGAATTGGGAGATTGGGATTGACATATATACTATATATACATATATACATATAATTGACATATTATACTAATATGTATAAAATAGATTACCAATAAGAACCTGCTGTATAAAAAAAAAGATAAAATTTAAAAAAAAAAGAAGATAGCCTTGTCTCTCTCATGTTTATGTTCCAGAGGTAGGGATAGATAATAAATGATATACTAACTAGATCACTTTAAATGGTGATTAGTACTATGATGCAGTAGGTTAGATCAGCAGAGTGACAGAGTGGTGACTTCTCACTTGAAATCAAAGTGAATATGGAATGCTTCTCTAGCACATGATGAGACTTTGCTGGGGAAGCGGAGCAGGTCACATGGAGATCATGGGAAGCGCCCTCCAGGGAGAGGAAATGGCACCAAGCAGTAGTCCAAGGCAGCGATAAGCCTGGGACATCCTGGATCTGAAAGAAGGCCCTGGAGTTCACTGTCTTAGAAATGGTAATATTTACCCTCAGACTGGGTGTGTGTTCTTAGGAAATAGGTACATTTATTCATTCTACAAATATTTATTAAGCACGTATTGTATATCCAGATACTGAGAGTAGAGCAGTCCACAAAATAGACAAAAAAAAAAAAAAAAAATCAAAACTGAAAACAAAAAACCTGCCTTTCTGGGAACTTATCATTTTGGAGCACAGGGTGGAGGGAAGTCCTGAGCTTTATGCTGGTGCTCACCATTAAGAAAGTGAAACTGTTTCTGTTGCTTTATCCACACAGGATTTATAGAGCATGAGATTTATGTTAATGGGAGTCTTAAGGATTCTACACTGTGTCCAGTAGTAACTAGGGGTAATGTTTGACACTCAGGATTTCTTTTTAAAATTCCCTTTGTTCTTTCATCTGTGCTCTTTAGAAAGAGTCTTGAGAAGATTCTCAGTATGAGTATTGCACCTTGATCCCCTCTTCCCATCTTTCTCTTTATAGTGTTTATATATCCTCATAGCAAGCTAATTATTGAGATTTTTGGTGAGCACTGTTCAATAGAACTTTCTGCTGTGATGGAAATGTTCCATACGTGATCTATCCTAGCCAGTGGCCACACATGTGATATCTGAACACTTGATAGTGCAGGTATAGATAATGAGTTACTGTTATTCTGAGCAATAGAACTAGGAATTCTGAATGGGCTTTCGAAAGTATACAGCAAAAGTACTTTAGTGCATCTTAGCTCTGGGCTAGGTGCTGGAGACTGATGTGGAAAGCAGACATCAGAATAACCTGGTTGATGTAGCCTGTGTGCAAAGATCGTACACTGTTAAGCCAGTTTATAGTTAGCTGTCTATCTATCTGTTTATATACATATATTTTAAAGTACAGTCAGTTATTTGGATCCTTTATTCCTCATATCTCATCATCAGGAGAGCCAACCACTGTTGTCTTTTAGATATCACTGTTAGCAGAATAAGAGAGAAGAGGTGTAAGCTATTCGGCAGTGTTACCTTGATCCATGCATGTAGTTATCCCAAGCCGAATTCCTCATCTTCCTTGTGGGTTTAGCAAAACCTCATACCGGGTCTGCAGAAAGGTGATAAATTTGGTTTTTCTAAATTGAATGGGCTCACCTGTCTTTAATTTTGTTATACAGGGAAGCAACAATATGGTTTTGTGTTTTCAAAACATAGACTTTAAGATTTAGTTTCAAATTTTAGCTCTTTTCTTACATTAAACATGTTGCTTATTCTCATTATGCTTCAGTTTCTTCATTTGAAAAATCATAATTATTGTTGTACCTACCTCATAAGCTTGGTGGAAGAATCAACTAAGAAGATACATGTGAAAGTCCTAAACACAATGCCTAGGAAATAATAAGCTAGCTATAGTTAATCTTGTTGAATTTTTCTTTCTCTTCCATCATTCACAATTTCTTTTCATTCTTCACTCAGCACTGAGCTGAGAGAATCACCATTGCACCCCTTCTCTAAGGAAATGCCAACCAGTCCAACAGTGGCAGCTCTTTGGATGAATGAAGCTTAGTTATCTCACCAGCAGGAACTTTCTCAAATTTAGGCGCTTGAGTAAAGGGATGAGGAAAACTGGTAGTTTGTAGCTGATTGGTTGATTCTCTAAAGGGGGGAAAAGGAGACCATAAAAAAAAACAGGAGAAGGCTTAGACCAGACTTGTTTGAGTTTTGAGGGTTGAGGGAAATGCTACAATACTAAGTGGCAATCAACAGGACTGATTATAGTCCCTCTTTGGGGGAGAGAGCAGGCCTCAGCTAATCGTGTGGTTGTGTGGTCCTGATGCAAGGGATCTGATCTGTTGATGCTAGTCCTATAGATGCAAGAGTGGATCTTTACCTTTCTTCTGTATAGAGTGGGAAAGTTCTTGGTCCCTGGATGTGCAGTATCTTATTTGGATCCTGGCAGCAGGCCCAAAAGCTAAGTGTCTTCCCCAAAGTAGAGATTTCTTGTTGCCAGTTCCACTGGCAGCTAAAAAGGCAGTTGGCCAGTTCCTGTAGCTTCAAACGTATATAGACACTAAAGAGAGTTAAGAGTGTGACTCGGAGATGTGGATGTGAGACTCATTTGTGTGTAGGTGTATTTGTGTATATAAATGGAAGAGCACCCCTAAGAGAGTACATAAATAAGAAAGAGGAACACTTCCTCATACAGTGTGTTTGTGTGAGCTAGATTTCAACCCTAGTAGGATCGTCAAATTTGTACTTGTAACCTCCCAGATCGACAGTTTGGAAAGTGTAAGCCAGTAACTTTAAAAATGCAATTATGTGACTTTTCTTTTATGTTATTTAGGTGACTGCTTAGAAAACTGCACAGCCCACGAACAGCTGATGAAATTAGCAAATAAGCAAGTCAACTATGTCTTACACTCCAGGAATTGGTGGTGACCCTGCCCAGCTGGCCCAGCTTATCTCTTCCAACATCCAGAAGATCACACAATGTTGTGAGTTGAGTTTTTAAATTGACTTCATTGTTTGTTTTCAATTCTTCATTGAAACTTGGTGGAGATTCAAAAAAGGACAATTAGTGTTCCTCCAAGAGCAGATTTTAAAAGGCTAGACCTCTTTAGAGTAAAGATAAGGAGTAGTTATATTAGAAGAGGTAACACTTAACTGCATTTTTCTGTAGAGTGTCAGGCACCTGATAAACATTCATTAATGAAAGAAAGATTTAAAAGGATAGATACTTAGGTTTGCATTAAAACTGTCAGGTTCTAGATGAGGTAAATGAGATTTGATGAAATAGCATAGGTTTGGCACTGGGAAGCACTGTCAAGCACTATCAGTACTCCTCAGAATATATATAAGAAATTTTTTAAAAAATCCCTGTAGCAGATTTGAACCTATAGAGTTTTTTAGTTTTTCTTTCTGAATCACAGCTGATCATATACCTCGATTATTCCGGTCATTCTGTGGTCAGTATTTTGGCCCTCTGGGCATGCCTGAACTCTTTCAGAGTGTATTAATATGTATAGTTTTATTCTTCAGCCTACTTCATTAAGGCTACTCTCTTTACCAGAATGCTAAACACACTGTGGAACATCTGAAATGTTTTCAGATGACCAAGTGTGTTTCTTTAATCATTAACTTCCCAACAATTATTACTCTGCCTGAATGACTGAAATGAGATATCAGTGTGTTTTGGAGGCAGAGGGAGTAAAACTAGATTATAGATAGTTCTAAGAAAGTGCTGACCTGCACAGCAGTGTAGGATAACCCTTATCCTGATTTGGGGCAGCTCCTGTTTTCTTTGGCTGTCCTTGGAGGAGCAAGGAGGGGGATAGCGTGGAGGTATCACTTTGTCCCCAGTAGGGTTTATAGGATTGGTACGTCAAGGATTGTTCCAGTTTTTCCTGGGGCAGCAGCGTTGGCTGGCTCCACCTTGCTCTTCCTGCTTCAAATTGTTCCCATGGTAGCCAAAAGGGCCTCTCCTTTTTGTGGCTCCCTTGCTGCTGATTAGAAATAGTGCTAGTCTGCCTCAGGCTACTTGTGTGAAAATTATAATTTTAATTTGCACATGTGGAAAATCAGGACCTTTATCCAAGAAAGGAGGCCAGGAGGTCTTTTTCTGTAGGATAGGGCAGGTATCCTGTGTTGGGGAAGCTAAACGGTGTCGGGAATTCTGGGAAGAAGATGAGGAATGACTGTAGTGCACGGAGATTACAGAAGCCTTGTGCACTTAGTGGTGTGAAAGATGCATGGAGATGTATCTTGGAGATGGTGTGTGAACTTGAACTGGAAGGCAGGAAGCGATAACTTCAGTCAGGTCACACTCTCTCAGAAAGAGATCAGTTCATGAGACCAGCCAGATGATATGAGGTAGATTGGACCACAGTTGCATATTCATGGCATAGTTGATAGCTAAGTGTGTGACTACATCGTGGTTTGGGGCAGTTTTGGAGTACATGGGACAGTGATGATAAGACCCGAAACTCTTGTTTTTAACAGCCTTGTGAAGAGCTGTTAAGGAGACTGGGACTGTTAACTCTGAGAAGGTACAATCACCACCTTCGGATATTTGAAGAACTGTCTTGTCTAAAACACAAGAAATGTACTCTACTTGATCACAGAGGCCTCCACAGATGAACGGAAGCAACAGCTTGAGAAAGGAATAAGGGGATTTGAATAATCCTAGTTATTGAGGGATAGAATTGTCTACCTCAGGAGCAGTGCAGTCCCTGTTTCTAAGTGAACAGCATATGGTGGTGAGATATTTCTCAGGTCTGTAATTAAGGCACTGGAATAATGGTTAAACAAATGACTTTTCATTTTTATGTTAAGTCTTTATTCATTCAGCAAATAATTTATAGAGCACCAGCTGTTTGCTAGTCACTGTTTCAGACCCTGGGAATCGAGCAGTAAGCAAGATCCACAAGGTCCTGTTCTCTTGTAGTTTCCAGTGTGAGGAGAAACTGATGGTTTAAACATTTAATGAACAACATAATTCCCTATGAAGAAAAAAAAATGAGAGTGATGTGATGAGAGCAAGTGATGAGGGAGAAGCTGCCTTAGCTTAGGTGGTTCTCTGAATGTGGAAGAGAAGGGGCTGGTAGTGAGAAAATACTGAGAAAGAGCATTTAGATGGAGGCCGCAGCTGGTATTTTTAAAAAGCAGTCCAGAGCTTAGGGTGTTCAGAAAATAGGAAAAACCCAGTGTGGCCGAAGCACAGCACTTGAGGCAAGAGTGGCAGGAGATGAAATCAGAGAGGAGGCCAATCAGGTCACCTAAAACCTTGGAGGCCATGTGGAGCTTAAATTTCGTTCTAAGAGGCAGGGAAGAGACACAATCAGATCTGCACTTTGAAAAGATTACTTTGGCTGCTGCTTAGAAAATAGACTTTGAAGAAATAGAAGGAGAACACACAGGCCATGGCAGGGCTCTGATGAGAGAGATGTTGGCTTGCACCAGGGTGGTAGCAAGGGAGATGGAGAGAAGTGATGGATGTACTGTGGAGGCACAGACAGCAGGACTTGCTGATGCACAGGGGTGGGGTGAGAGGGAGAGGGGAGACCAGGATGACTTCATGGTTTTTGCTTTGAGCAACCAAGTGGATGGTGCTGAGTATGTACTAAGATGGGAAGAACTATAGTTCAGGAGATGTGGGGAGAGTTTTGTTTTGGCCAAGTAAATTTTGAGGTATCTTTTAAACATCTAAGTGGAGATGTCAAACATCTAGTTTAGGTATATGAATTTGGAGATCAGAGTGTCATCAGAATATAAATGGTATTTAAAACCATAGGTCTAAAATAATCACAAAGGAGTGAATAGAGTTCAGAGAAGAGAGTTGGAGCATTTTAAAAAATGTAGAAGTCAGGAAAGCAGGGAGAAAACACCATAGTCAGGGAAGGAGTGACCAGTGAGGTAAGAAGAAAATCAGGCTCTTCTGGGTTTCCAGAAATTCAAAGAGTGTTTCAAGAATGAGTGAGGCATCATGTGTCTAATGCTGCCAACAGACTGAATGAGATGAAAGCAGAGAATGGGATCTGGCAAACTGGTGTCTTTGAAAGAATAAATCCCTGGATATATGCCAGGGATGCACAGCTGGTTCAACGACCACAAATCAGGCCATGTGATATACATACACCACATTAACAAAATGAAGGATAAAAATCATATGATCATTTCAGTAGATACAGAAAAAACATTTGACAAGATTTAACATTCATTTATGATAAAAATTCTCAACCAAATGGGTATAGAGGGAACATACTTCAACATAATAACAGCCATATGTGACGGGCCTGCAGCTAATATCATATTCAGTGGTGAAAAGCTAAAAGCTTTTCCTCTAAGATCAGGAACAAGATAAGGATGCCCATTATTGCCACTTTCATTCAGAAATATTGGAAGTCATAGACAGAGCATTTAGGCAAGAAAAATAAATAAAAGGCATCCAAACTGGAAAGGAAGAAGTAAAACTGTCACTATTTGTAGAGGATATGATATTATATGGAAAACCCTGAAGACTCCATCAAAAAACTGGTAGAACTAATAAACAAATTTAGTAATGTTGCAGGTTACAAAATCAGCACTCAAAATCTGTTGTGTTTCTGTACACTAATAACAAACTATCAGAAAGAGAAATTAAGAAAATCCCATTTATAATTGTATCAGAAAGGAATAAATTTAACCAAGGTTGTATACTGAAAACTATCAGACATTAAGGAAAGAAATTGAAGAAGACACAAATAAATGAAAAGATATTCCATGCTCATGGATCAGAAGGATTAATATTATGTCCATACTACCCACAGCAATTTATAAATTCAGTGCAATCCCTATCAAAATTACAATGGTATTTTTCACAGAATAAACAGTCTTAAAATTTGTATGGAACTGCAAAAAACCCCCAATAGCCAAAGCAATCTTGAAGAAAAAGAACAAAGCTGGAGTCATCAACCTCTCTGATTTTAAACTCTATTACAAAGCTATAGCAATTAAAACAGTATGGTATTGGCATTAAAGACAGACACATAGATCAATGAAACAGAATAGAGAGCTGAGAAATAAACCCATGTATGTATCATCCGTTAATTTACAGCAAAGCCAAGAATATACAATAGAAAAAGGATAGTCTCTTCAATAAATCATGTTGGGAAAACTGGACAGCCACATGGAAAAGAATGAAACAGGACCACTGTCTTACACTATACACAAAATTAACTCAAAATGGACTAGACTTGAACATAAGACCTGAAACCATACAACTCCTAGAAGAAAACATATGTGGTAAGCTCCTTGACATAGATCTTGGCAATGATTTTTTGAATCTGATAACAAAAGTGAAGGCAACAAAAGCAAAAGTAAACAAGTAGGACTACATCAAACTAAAAAGTTTCTGCACAACAAAGGAAACCAAAAAGACAAGAAATAACAGGTTCGGTGAGGATGTGGAGGAAAGGGAACCCTTGTGCACTGTCGTTGGGAATGTAAATTGGTTCAGCCACTATGGAAAACAGTGTTGGAGATTCCTCAAAAAATTAAAAGTAGAATTACCATACAATCCAGCAGTACTCTTCCTGGGTTTTTATCCAAAGAAAACAAAAATACTAGATTGAAAACGTATCTGCACTCCCATGTTCATTACAGCATTATTTACAATAGCCAAGATATGGAAGCTACCTAAGAGTCCATGGATAGACAAATGGATAAAGAAGATATGGTGGGTGGGTGGGTGGATGGATGGATGGATAGATAGATAGATAGATAGATATACATGATGGAATATTATTCAGCCATTAAAAGAAAAAGAATGAAATCTTGCCATTTGCGATAACATGATTAGACCTCAAGGGCATTGTGTTACGTGAAATAAGTCAGAGAAAGGCAAATAACATAATCTTTCTTATACGTGGAATCTAAAAAAAACCCCAAACCAGATAAACTAAGTTCATAGGTATGGAAAACAGATTGATGGTTGTCAGGGGTAGGGGGTGGGAGAAAT